TTTCCCTAGATACTAAGACATGGTCCTTCAAAATGCTTAAAAAGTAAAAGGCAATGCATACAGTATCTGCTATCATTTGAGCCGGTGTCCTCACAGAAACAGGAAACTTATATTCTAACTTGACAGCAAACGGGGCAATAATGGGGAGTAGGAACCTAGCAGGAAGTTTGGAACATGGAGGTGGATCTCTTATGAATAATTAATATCATGTCTGGGAAGGAAACAGGTTTTCACTAATTAGTTCCCAAGAGAGCAGACTGTCATAAAGGAAATTGACAGATCTACCTCTCTTTCTGTCTACTTAGCCATTTTCCTCTCCACTTCTCTCAGACATGTTGTGACAAAGCACCAGAGGCTGGCCAGATGCCTACACTATGCTTTTGGACTTTCTAGCCACCAGAATCATGAACCAAATAAAATTATTTTCTTTATAAAGCATCCAATCTCAGGTATTTCCATTATGGTGACACAAGGGACTAAAATAGTATCCAGTCATAACTTCTTTGAAAAATGTTCATCCTTTCCAATCATGTCATTTCATTTGCTATGACCAAGTTTACTCTTCCGTTTACTTTAAAACGTGTCTGTGTTGTCTCCTACATTATCTAGTTGCTCGACCTCATCTCCTTTGTGGTTGGTACAATATCATAACCTCTTCCTCATATCACCTTTAAGTCTTTCATTCAAAACCCATTCTTTCAAGAAGCGCTTCCTATTCCAAAACAAGGGATGTCAGGGTAAAAATTTGAGCCATAGTTCTCTTCTTTTTCTTGCCAAAGTATGTGGGCTGCTTATTGGTCTTCACACTATGACTCCATTTCCTCCCAATGCATCAACACCTTAATTCCACCCAGCCTTGCTTGCACCCCCGTGGCTTTCCTGGAATTTAAAGGTAATCAATGCCCTGCTTGTGAAATCCAAAAGGCATTTTCTTGGTCATCAATTTTACTCTTCTGCAATATTTGTTACCAGGTTCTAACTGAACTCCCTTTCCACTGTCACCTTCTAAACTCCCTTACTGCAGATGAGTACCTTACTTACTCATCTCTGCCTGTGCCAAACTCACAGGGGCCACTTGAATATTTGTGGAATGAACATGTTGCACATCTTTCTGGTCTCTCTCTCTCTACACTCTAGACACTAGAAACATCCATTATTATGGCTTCAAAATCTATGTCTAGGCAGATAATTACCAAAATTGTGCATCCACAAAATCTAAAGCTATCCTTGGTTTCTTCTGCTATGACATCTCAGCAAATTTCAGAGTCCCATCTCCAACATCTATTGGGCATTTCCCACGGACCGTTCCACCATCTTTTTAAATCACTCTTCAAAAATAAACCTCAGGAACCAGCAGTTAGTGTAATGGCTATGTCGCTGGACTCCCATGTAGTCGACCACGGTTCACGTCCCGGACCTGGTGGCTTAAAACTCACGCCGGGTGCATGTGCGTGCATGCCCAAGATCCCGAAAGGAGAATGGAGGAGAAGAGATTGCGGCGTGACCATCCCCCCTGGGGGGTGATTTCTCACTTTCTGTCTCTATGTCTCTGTCTGTCTGGCGAGTGCATGCGCCCTATAGTGAAAATCTCTCCAATAAAATAAAATAAAATAAAATAAAATAAACCTCATCAATTTCTTCAGGAGCTTCTCTTTCCTAGATTGGGCATTGTGTTTTCAAAATCACCATCATTTCCCCTGTAATCTTGGACTGTAATAATGTCTTCCTACTTTTGAAGCCAAGAGGTATGAGGTTGCAAGGCAGATTTAATAGAGATTCATTCATTTGAATCCCTCTGCTCTGGGTTCCAGTGGGAGCCTCTAAGTCAACAGTGCTGCCTCTTTGTGAGTAGCCCAAGATTTAGCCTTTGTGTACACATAAATAACCAGATGCAGTGTAACCCTGCATCTTCTTTTCCCATGTAATTCTAGAATAAACAAATTGTATTTTTTTTAGAGGTTTTTGCTATAGGGCGTGTGCACTCGCCAGACAGACAGAGAGAGACAGAGAGAGAAGGCGAGAAATCCCCCCCCAGAGGGGATGGCCAAGCTGCAATCCCTTCTCCTCCATTCTCCTCTCGGGATCTTGGGCACGCATGCACACGCGCCTGGCGTGAGTTTAAGCCACCAGGTCCGGGACTCGAACCGCGGTCGACTATGTGGGAGTCCAGCGATATAGCCATTATGTTAACTGCTGGTCCCAACAAATTGTATTTTGATAATCCTCCAAGTTCTATTTACATCAATGAAACCCTCAAAAAATCTTCTATGAGAAAGAGAGAGACAGAGGCAGAGAGATACCAAGACAAGTACCCCCCAGCTGGGCTCTCACACTGTGATCTACCACCAGCCTCAGTCAACCAGGATCACTGGCACACAAGCACATGCCTAGCACACACAGGGAAACCCTGGGGCCTGAACCTAGGACCTTCCTGTGTGGCCACAGCATCACAGAACACCAGGTTACAGCTGCACTACTGCAGTTGGCCAAGTTGTTTCACTTCTTCTCACTGTAGCCCTTTTCTTTTCTAAAACTCCTACCCAGTTTAGATGCTATTACTCTAAGTTCTAGACCTCTTCAATGACTTTGTCAGTCTCCCTGCCACAAACCTCTACCTATTCCCAAAGCATTATGAATAAGCTCATCAGATTAATATATATACTTTGCTCTCTCCCCCCAAAAACCCTGATGGCTTCTTATATGTAGCATAAAGTCTAAAATCCCAAGCCTATTTATTTTTATTTTAACCAGTTGATTGAGGTTTCATTGCCATTATATAATATGAACACATCCAAAGTATATAATTTTATTTTGACATATACCCATTAATACATAACCAGAGTCAAGGTGATGAACATAGGCATCATTAAATTACAAGTTTTCTTGGGAACATTTTTATACTCCCATAACCTAAGCAGGCACCAGCTAAGACCTGACCATGCTCATTGCTTGTATTTCTGGAGTCACACCACTGTACACACCACTTTCCTTCAATCAACAAAATTATTTTGATACACATCCATTATGTGCATGTAAAAACTTTACTGCTGAGCACTATTCCATTGTATGGATACCCTATGGTTTGCCCAAATTATCTATTGATCCAAATCTAATTTTTAAGACACCTCAGAAGGTTTTGTCAGAGGGCATATTTCCTTCTTCTTACACACATTCATTATACCTTCCCTAATTGCCTCACTTTCCCCAAATCTCTTCTCTACTTGGTCTTCCTATTCCTTAATGTCAAAAATAGATCACTGGTCCTCAACCCCAAGATGCCATTTTCACTCACATCCTAGAACTTACAGAAGTAACCTATCTTAGAATGTAATCAGATATTTCCATATGTTATTAAACTAATCAACATGAGGCTTGATTATAAAGAAATCGAATTGAGTTCTGCAAACCTCACTGTTCACTGATATCATTATTACATACTATTAATCAGGAGTCAAAAGTGGCCATGTGCCAGACCCAGCTTCAAGTATTCTTTATGTGGCCACCAAATCTTTCACCATTTTAAATTTGAATTTGAACATCTTTTGTGAGGAGTGAGGGGCAGCGGTTACACTGTCTACCTCACTCAATATTATTTCAAACCCCATTGCTTTTGACAGTTATAAAACCTTCCTGGGCTAACAACATGAGTTTGCAACATCTTTTGAGTCACACTCAAAACATTTCAATGCCCTAATACATCTAGAAACTCCAGGAGGGCACAGATTGTGGCTTATACTCCCTAGAGTGACCCTGTCGCCCAACAAGGTCCAGTACTGTACTGAGCACATGGTAGGAGCTCAACACATACAAACTGAGTGTATTCATGCCGGGCTATAGAGCAGATGTGGTGAATGGTGAGGACCAGGAGATCACATGATCCAGTGAGCAAATGATGTTGTCATGCGTCAAGTTGGACTTACCTTACTCAGTGCGCCCAGTAAGATTCGATGACCACAAATTCTCACCACACATCCAGTACCTCCAGCAATAACATCTACTGTCGACAGTCTGTTCCTGGAAATCAGCCCACTGACATGGGTGTGATGTTTATATCAGTTCAAAATACCAATTTAAATGAGTGTCCATTTCTAAAGAAAAAGAAATAGAAAGATTTTGGGTTTTTTTGTTTGTTTGTTTTTGTTTTTTCCCCAGAGTAGTAATGGAAGGGAAGGGAGCACTCCCTAAAAATAGTATCTACAAACAGTATTCCAGTGACAGGAAATAAGGACAGAAAGTATCTTATTTTTGTTAACCCAAAAAGTGATTAATCTTTTCCCAGTTTCCATCATGAGACCTCAGCTGCCCTGTCACTGACTAAAATACTGACTTTGCATTTTTACAATCCTTTAGGTTGACTTATCTAGAAGGCACTAGACTCAGGGACAAGAAGGCACTAGACTCAGGGACAATCAGGTGACAACCACAGAGTGGCAGAAAGTGGTACAACGAGTATGAGGTTTGAAAACAAAACAGAGCAGGGTTTGGAAATAATTGGCTCTGGCACTTGAGCTGCAGTGAACTGAGCAAGAAAATGAGGAAACAAGGCCCAGCTGCAGTGATGCAAGCCAGGAGACGCTGCTACTCCAAAGACAGAGGCCACATGGGAGGCCTAGGTTCAATTCCCTACCCAACCTAAAAAAAAAAAAAAAAAAAAAAAGATAGGACCAGCAGTTGGCGTAATGGCTATGTTGCTGGACTCCCATGTAGTTGACCTTGGTTTGAGTCCTGGACCCAGTGGCTTAAACTCACACTGGGTGCGTGTGCATGCATGCCCAAGATCCCTAGAGAAGAATTGAGGAAAAGGGGTTGTGGAGTGGTCATCCCCCTTGAGGGGCGATTTCTCACTTTCTGTCTCTCTCTCTTTCTGGCAAGTGCACTTGCCCTATAGCAAAAACCTCTCCAAAACAAAGAAAAAGAAAAAGAAAAGGAAAATGGGAGCAATCATGATTTCTTTAAATTAAATGAGATGAGAATAAGAATAGCTAATAGTGCTCATTTTGTGTTCGGCACTGATTTCATGTTTTAAATGTATTATCTACTTACAACATTATAAAGTAGATATTATTACTATATCCATTGTATAAGGACATGGAGACATAAGAGGATAAATTATTTTCCCAAGTCACTCAGCCTATAAATAGCAAAACCACAATTTAAATCCAGTTGCTCTTGGTTCAGAATCCTCAGTCTTATCACTCATGTGAGACTCATGCGAAGCACTTGGTACAACACCTGGCAAATGGAGCCATCAACCAAAGGACTGAATACATGATAGCAGGGCTATAGGGGGAAGAAGAAAAGTAGAACATTTACCTCATCTCTTGACTGCCATTCTTGGTCCCCCAAACCTAGATAGCATGGTGTTTAAAAGACAGTAACTCTCCCAAGCCCAGACCCCCACAAGTAGCTCTTGTCCCAGCCTCCTTTATGGAAGGACTTAGGACAGATCACCTTTCACACCCACCTAGGCTAACCAGGAAGTAAAATGACACACTTTGGCTGGCTCAAAAGCACCTCCCACCAATCACAATGAAAGGCCCAAGACCTAGCACATGTATTGGTACTCTCTTACCTTGGAGCAAACTCTCTGCCTTGCTAGGGGTCTCCCTCCCGTCCCATCACTCAAGAGCCTTAATCCTGGTGTTCCAGTAGCCTAGCAGCTCCAAAATCTCCTTCACTGTTTCTGATGCAGGCCATGGTCCCGCTCAGAGCTGCTGTCCCAGAGTTCCTGATATCAGAAGACCATAATCTCCCTACCAGCCCCTCACTAATTAGACCCTCTCACATGAAAGCAAACCCAGCTGCATGTTCTATCTGAACCATTGGCTGGCATGGTCTTTTAAATAAGGCAGAGCTGTGCAGGCAATAGAGAATCACCAACTAATGAATTCCAGCAGGTGATTCTTATGGTTAGATGAGGAGAGTTGATAGTATACTATGGACTACAGAGTTCTTTAAAGATAAAGACAAGAAAACAGAAATATATACTTACAGGGATGCAGATGGATCACTCTAGAAGAAATGGAATCCCAAGGAGAACATTGTGAATAGGGAACTCCTCACTCTGCTGAAGGAGCTCTGTCAACTCAGCCATCCTGAAAAAGACCACTGGCACCAAAGAAAAGCTCCTATCCTAGATACAATCCTATGTTGTCAAATTCTCTAGTTCTGAAGGTGAAACTAAACACAGATTCTTCACTCTGATAAACAGTAACTTTATTGCCATATTTTGGCATCCCTAGACTCAGTGTGGAGGATAAAAGGGTCCCAGTCAAGGGAGTAGAGGGTTGCAGCCCTTACCAGTGTTGGCAGGGTTCCCAGTACAAGAGAAGAGAGGACAGGAGTTCTCTCCAAAACCTGCAGGTCCCCAGGTAATGCTGGGATGGGTACCCTAATCAGGAAAACATGACAGTCCCACGTAGCAGTGCTAGCATATTCATAGTTCACAGTATGGACCAGAAGGTATGTCCTGTTCTTAGACTGCCCTGCAGAAAGGCTAGAGGGCTCCTTTAATAGAATAAATTGATGGCTATATAGAGAGCAACAGGCATTCAGGGGCTGGGCTAAACTCACATATAACTCATCAGTCTTCTCAAACTATACACTTAAAACCAACCACGAAACCAGCAGTTCGTGTAATGGCTATGCCGCTGAACTCCCATGTAGTAGACCATGGTTCAAGTCCCAGACCCGGTGGCTTAAACTCATGCTAGGCGCATGTGTGTGTGTGTGTGCCCAAGATCCCGAGAGGAGGATGGAGGAGAAGGGATTGTAGCGTGGCCATACCCCCCCCGGGGGGGGCGATTTCTCGATTTCCGTCTCTTTGTCTCCGTCTGCTTCTCAAACTATACACTTAAAACCAACCACGAAACCAGCAGTTCGTGTAATGGCTATGCCGCTGAACTCCCATGTAGTAGACCATGGTTCAAGTCCCAGACCCGGTGGCTTAAACTCATGCTAGGCGCATGTGTGTGTGTGTGTGCCCAAGATCCCGAGAGGAGGATGGAGGAGAAGGGATTGTAGCGTGGCCATACCCCCCCCGGGGGGGGTGATTTCTCGATTTCCGTCTCTCTGTCTCTCTCTGTCTTTCTGGCAAGCACACGCGCCCTATAGCAAAAACCTATGCCCGGCCAAAAAAAACCATCCACCACTTTTACACAAACACAGCATTCATACTCTTGTTTGTTGTCATCTCTTTTATAATTCCAGGCCTCCAGGCTTCCTCCTAACTTTAGGTCAGTCTAGTAGCCCTAGAGAAATGTCCTCATTGTATAGCACCTTTTGCTAGGAGGGTGCAGGTTCCACAAAGGAGATTTCTCCAGGAGCCTCTGCAAACCAAGACCCCATGAAACTTCTACTAAAGTAGTCCAGGCTTTGACAGATATGCAGCTGGAAACGTCAAGAAAGGAATTATAAATTAAACAAAATAGGTGGAAATTCTTTTTATTATGTTTAATTACACAGATATTTTCAATATAATCCAAACCTCAATGTGTCACACAATTATTCACACTATTGTATATTCCAAAAGCCAAATACCCCAACCATAATCCTGGGCCCAATATGATTTCTTAAAATGGAAAGAATTCCTTGAGAAATGAAAAGTTAATACAGGAATAATTTAAGAGCGCAAATAAAATGAGGGAAAGGACTTAATTTAGTGTGAAAACCAAAAATAATTTTAAATAAGAATGGGTATTTAAGATCTTCTTACATTAAATTAAATTACGGAGATATGCCCAGAACATTAAAGAAAACAAACGAACAAACAAAAACTCCAGATGATTAAATTTTTGGTATATATTTTAACAATAACTGAAATGGAATACCAACTCATTAGGGCTGATTTCCTTCAGCTTATGTAAGCAGCCCTCTTCTGAGCCCTCTATAATCTTAGCGTAACACAGTACTTTTTTTTTTTTTTACAACAACTTAGAGGTGATATCAAAACAACAAACTGACAAGTGTAATTTTAGAGACACTGAAAGCATTTAAACACATGTAATGTAAGCTTGCTGTCTGCCTTCCAAATGTGGAATGCTTATTGTAACATATACCTCGACTTGGCTGAAATTCTGAAATTTTCGTAATATATACCTCGATTTGGCTGAAATTCTGAAAAATAATGAGTTTTGTTTGATTGTTTTTGTTTTGGGAGTTTCTTTTCTACTTTAATTTTTAATTTAGTTTTCATAATTTACATAACAAACCAATTGCTATGGTCATAATGAGAAAAGAAAACTTGGCTCTCACTGAAACTTGTAAAAACTAAAAGTTTGGGGTATTACCTTAGTTCATTTGGGCTGCTATAACAAAATGCCGTAAACAGTGTAGCTAATCAACAAAATGGCTGAAAAGTTGAGATCAAGTCACCAGCAAATTTGGAATCTGGCAAGAGTTTTCTTCCTGGCTCATAGACGGCCTTTTCTCACTGTGCCCTGCATGGCACAGATGCAAACATTCTCCCATGGCCCTATTTTTATAGGACACTAATTCCATTTATGAAGGACCCACCTTCATGACCTAATCATATTCCCAACATCCCCACACTTAATATCATCACTTTGGGGGTTAGAATTTGAACAGATAAATTTTGATTTGAAGGAATACAAACCACAGCAGGTATGGTAGAGGAAAATGCCAAGACTATCATATGAAAGGACAAAGGTTTCTAGTTTCAGGCCCCGCTTCTCTGGGCCTGTACCAATAAAGTCAAATGTACCTCTAGTCACTTCCCTCTTCTTGCTCCCTCAAACTGTGTAAGCATTTTTTTTTAATTATTTAACTTTATTTATTTATTTGTTTTAATTTGACCAGAGAGGAACAGAGAGAGAGAGAGAAAGTGAGAAAGCAAGACTTCAGGTCCGGGACTTGAAAGATAGTCGGCCATATGGGAGTTCAGTGCCCCCAACCACCATGCCACCTGCTGGTCCCACTGTGTAAGCATTTTACAAAGGCATGCTACTAAGTAATTTATAATCTGGCTTTGGCAGTCATGCCTATAGAAACTAATTTTTTTTTTTTTTGGAGCGGTTTTCACTATAGGGCGCGTGCGCTCGCCAGATAGACAGAGAGAGACATAGAGACAGAAAGCAAGAAATCACCCCCCAGGGGGGATGGCCACACCGCAATCCCTTCTCCTCCATTCTCCTCTCGGGATCTTGGGCACGCACGCACACGCGCCCGGTGTGAGTTTTAAGCCACCGGGTCCGGGACACGAACTGCGGTCGACTACATGGGAGTCCAGCGACATAGCCATTATGCTAACTGCTGGTTCCCAAGAAACTAATTATTTAATGCAGTTCTTTCAGAGAAAAATTTAAATAAAATTTTGTTCTTCATATTAAATTTATTAAGAATTGCTGGGGGACCAGCAGATAGTGAAATGGTACATCACTGGACTCCCACGTAGTCAACCACAGTTTGAGTCATAGACTCAGTGACTTAAAACTCACACCAGGAGCATTTGCATGCATGCTCAAAATCCTGAAAAGAGAATGGAGGAGAAGGAATTGAGGGATTGCCATCCCCATGATGATTTCTCACTTTCTGTCTATCTCTCTCTGTCCCTCCAGTGAGCACAAACACCTTATAGCAAAAATCTCTCTTCCAAAAAAAAAAAAAGAAATGATAGATAGGGAGCTACAGTCCAAAAAAAAAATAGCCTCCTCTTGTAGATTTATCATAAAAATTCAATCTTTAAAACAAGATCTGAATTCTTTAGATGGAATGCTCT